AAAAAAAAAAAAAAAAAAAAAATTGTGAAGTCTTGGAGTTAGAAGATAGCAGGGCAGAGGTTGAGGTTGGACAAGTGGACAGCCAGCCTGCAGGGGTACACCTTATAGTGACCCAGAGATGGGAAACAGTTTCTTCTCTGTAGCCTCCCACAGGCCCTCCTTTCTCCACCAGCAATGTGGACCTGTAAGAGTCCAAGAAGTAGCTACAGGTAAGGGTGGCCCACAGTAGCTACAGAAGAAGAGACAAGTGTCCAGGTTCAAATGTACACGGTGGAGTGGGTTAGCAGAGCAGCTGCCCCCTAGCCCCAACTGCTGGCCCTGAGCGCTCCCTGCAGGGGCCACTTCTGAGTGGGCAGGCGGCCCCTACCTCAAAGGTGAAGGGGTAGGCATGCTCGCCCAGCTTCTTGATGAGACGCTCCTGCAACCGTGTCAGGGGCTTCTTGTCCTCAGGGGCCGGTGGGAAGGACTGCACATTAGCCACAAACAGGTCTTTGCGGAATGTCAGGCCCAGGACATCCAGGTCCTCCCGGCCATAGCGGAAGGCGCAGGTCAGTGTCACATAGACTGTGGGGAAAAGGGTCACTGATCAGGGCTCTGGAGGGAACATAGGGCTCCCCAATGTGCCAGCTGCATCCTGGGGGACCACAGGCCTACCCCTGGGTCCTGTGGGCAGGGTGTGCTATGTCCCCTCAGGAGCTGGTACTGGGGACCTACACAGCAGCCCATGGCATGGCTCCTGGGAGGAAGTGGGGAATGTTGGCTGGGTCACCTGCCCCCCATCCCAGGGCACTAGGGGTGGCCTGCCAGGACAGGGAGGGCTGCAATATGTGACAGGCCTGGGGTGGGAGCAACTGCGAGCTCTATCAGAAGGAGCAGGGTCCTGTCCCAGTCCTATCCCCTGCTCCTGTCCCCTCACTGACCTTGTACACTCCCTTCACCCCCCAGTGACTGGCACCAGCAGCCTTGCTATGGTCATGACATGGAGAAAAAGTACTTAGTGACAAGGTCTCCTGGGCTGGAGGAGGCTGCAGCACCTGCTGTGGCATGCACGGGGCTGGGGCACTGAGGGCAGTAAGATCATCTGGTGTCCTTCCAGGAAGGTCAGTAAGGAAGGTGAGGAGCGGCGCACAGCCTACCTCTCCTCTCTTTGAGATACTCAGGATCCACCAGGACCACGCCATCTGGGGGGAGAAAGAGCTGACCACCTACCCTCACCTCCACCCCCAAGCCCGCCACCCACCCAGCTCCAAACCCAGCCACATTCCTCTCAGAAGCCTCACTGAGAGACAGGCCAGCCAGCACCAGGGAGCAAGCCCTGGCTTCCCGGCCTCATCTCTACCATCTCTACCCCCCACTCCCCTCCCAAACCAGCTGTTGACTCTGAACAGGTTCGTCAACTTCTGTGGTTCTTCATCTGTTAATAAGAACAATAACAGGGCCAGCCAGACAGCTCATCGGACTAAAGATCCTGGTTAGGCAGAACGCAGTGGTCGGGGTTCAATCCCCTGCATGCGTGCGCCTATAATCCCAGCATTTGGGAGGCTGAAAACAGGAGAATCACTATGAGTCCAATCTACGTAGTGACACCCTGTAGACCTTGTAGACCCTGTTCTTAATACATTTTTTTTTTAAAAAAAAGGAACAATAATAATAGGGGTCTGAGACCCATAGGCCTAAGTGTACTTTGGAGTTCAGATGCTGTGCGTGGCGAAGCGGCAGCGCGGTACCTGTTCCATAGAAGGTGCCAACCCTCAAGCACCTTGCTGGAAAAGCCATTCACAGCTCTGCATGGATCATTCACAGGCCATGTAATATTTCACAGGACCACACATATGACATGGCCTCATTAGATTACATCGCCGAGGGACACTGTGCTCATCTTAGTGTAAGTACACCCTTGAGGGTCACTCAGTGACAAAGCCACCTAACGACACATTTCTCTAAGAATGTGTCACCATCACTTAGTGATGCGTGGCTGTATTCCATCCAAGAGGCTAACCAAGGCATAAGTGTCCTCACCGGAGATCAGTCCAGTTTGCCAGCAGACAAACCCAGCCTAAACCTAGGAATAGAGTTGGATTTTCAAGGCACTTGGGATTTGGGGTCTGCAAACTGGAAGCTACGATTTGTAGCCCCTGCTTGAGGGGCTCATGTGAGGACAAGTGGGTGGTCTGTGTCGATGGGCTCGTGTGTAAAACATGTCACCGTGAAAAGAGCTTAGATGGAGCCTGGCATGGGCGAGTGGAATGGGCCCACGTCCCTCACGAGGCTTGCCCTGGGGAGCCACCTAGACACAAAAGATGTGTCCTACGCCCGAGAGGCCAGAAACACTGGTGCAGGGGACACCTCTGCCTGGCACCCCCAGTTCATGGCTGGCCAAAGCTTTCTCTTGCTCTGGTTACACTGCCACTGCCCCCATGCTGCCCCACAGCTGGTCCCTCAGGGCATCTCAGGCACAGTGCAGAAGGATCCTAATCCAACCAGTCCTGGCCAGGCCCTACGGGCAGCTGGCCAGAGCATGCCCATGCATCTTCCCTCCTTTTATGGTGGGCATTACCTCTGGGCCATGCCCACCCTGGGCACAGGGGCTCTGGGAAATCCATGGACAGAGTCTCAGGGTGTGGTAAGAACCCCTTCAGGCTTGCCCTGGGAGGCTGCTTGGGGGCTGAAAGCTGCGGTCAGGCCTCAGAGGACTAAAAAGGGTCATTAACTGGGTAACTAAGGAGGACAAGGAAGGCAGAGGGAACAACATGACTCGGAGGCCCAGGAACAGATTCTGGAGGCTGGGGAGGGTCACAGAGTCCTCTCTGCTAGGCCTGGGGGCTTGGATAGAGCTAATGAGTGGTCCTTCTGCAGCTTCCTGGACCTGCACACATCTCGCTGACACAGGGACCCTAGGGACCTCCAGGTCCCTGGCCTCAATATTGGACTGGTCTTTCTCCCGCTGAGCGGAAAAATGCTACTACATCCTGGAGTGGTGAGGCCCAGAACCACCCTATTTGACAAATAGACCAAGGAAGGCCAAGAGGTTAAGTCTGTGTTGTTGTTGTTGTTGTTGTTGTTAAGAAGGAAAGTGATACCTAAAGAGGTGACGGCTAGGAGGACATCCTACTCCTTAGTCACCCAGTCAATGACCCTCTGGCCCAAGGACAGCCTCCAGGGACAGGAAGAAAGGCCACATTCTCTGGGACTATTTCCCAACCATTCCATTTTCTTCACCTGGACTTGGCTTTATGCAGTCTCCAGTCCCATCATCCCAGCTGTCACCTCTTTAGGTATCACTTTGATTTGTCCATGTCCTTCTTAATAATAATAACAACAACTTACCCTCCTGGCCTTCCTGGGTCCATCTGTCAAATGCAGTGGTTCTGGGCCTCTCCCCCTCAACTGTGGGAGCAGGCAATGGGCCAAGAGTCTTCTAACAAGAGCAGTGATTCTCTACTAGGGGCAGTCTGGGCAACATTCAAAAACGATCCTCCTGCCTTGGTCTCCCGAAAAGCTGAGATTATAGGCTCTTGGATCCAAGGATGTCTGTGATTCATAACCATGTTAGACGTGGCATTCCTGGCATCTAATGGGCAGAGGTCAGGGATGCTGCCATGCACCTTATGATGCATGGGACAGAGCCCAACATGTGATCATCCACTCACAGGTGTCAAGAATCCTGAGGATAAGAAACCCTGAGCTAGAACAAGACCTTGGAAGGTGACTTCAACGGGCACTCAGACCCCCACCTAGAGGAAAGTGATCCCCACGTCACAAACCCCAAGGGTTTTCTTTCCATCTCCCACCATTTGCCATGAGGAGGCAGTGAAACTAAGGCATTTGGCAGAGCCAGGAAGCCAGGTTAGAATCTAGGCCCTGTACCGACTGGCTCTGCGACCTGGAACAAGTTATCGTGCCTCTGTGCGTGGTTGTCCAGGTTTGAAAATCAGAGATAACAATCATAGCTGCCCCCACTGTCTGCTGTCATCACCCTCACCCTCTGCTGCATCACAACGTCCCTGTTCTCACCTCCACCCTCCCCACAATCTCCCAGGGGCCGTACTGGGAACAGAAGGAGCTGCTCGGAAAACTCCTGCTTACTGAAGCAGCAGCCAAGACCCTGCCCTGGGCAGCAGCCCCTCCAGAGCCAGGAGCCAGCCCTGACCTCCACTCCCCTCCCACCCTCCAAGACCCCTCATGACTCACCCACTGGGTCCACAAGGTCGATGTGGTCCACAAAGTCCCGCTTTCCCAGGTAGACAGTGAGCTGGGGAAGAGAGACACGGTGTTGGCAGCATGAGCCAGGGAGGGCACAGGCACTGCCCTGGAGGAAACCAGGAGGGAGCCGCCCTGAAGCTCCCAGAACCACCCCTAAGCTTCATCAGACCCTACCTGGACTCAGGCCCTGCCCCACTCCTAATAGGAAGGGCAAACCTTTCCAAAACTTCAAATACACCTCTGCCTCCCAAGTCCTAGGAGATTGTTACTGATTGCACTTTACAGATGAGGCCTGGCGAGACTTTCTCAACAAGCACCATGGAGGATGGTGGCCCAGTGGCAAAGGAGGCTGCTAAGCAGGAACTCCAGATCTCAGAAGGCCCGCGGAAGCCCACTGCAGGCAGACTCTGAGCCCAGGAGTGCTGCAGAGGCAGGCTCTGTGCTCTTAGGCACCTGGCAGGAAGCCACTCACCTAAGGACTTGTTTTCTGAAGTGGTGAGCAGTGGGGAGCTGGGCCCCAGCCAACCCACAGGGAAGAACCCACCAGCTAGAATTCCAGGGCTCAATGCCAGGTCCAGAATGCCATCCTGCCCTTCCTGCTCCACAGCTCTGATGACTCGGCCCCTGCCAGATTTCTCAGATCCTCCCTCTCCGTGCCCACAGCAAGCCTCGCCTGCTGCTGACAGCCTCGCTGGCCCCAGACTCAGGCACTCTCCCCTCCTTAGCTAGATTGGCTGGCCTACAGTGAAAATGAAACCACAATGCCCCTGTCTGAAAACCCTTTAGCAGTTCATCGGTGCCCACAGGTAAGGATGACAAATGGCTCTCATTCCAAATGCCAACTCTGATTGATTATCCATCAGGGCTGCCTCAGGACCTGAATAGGGAAGGAATCCAAGATGGAATCCTAGTGCAACAGGAAGCAGAGAGAGGTGATGGGCTGCATCTGCTGTGGTACTGAATGGGATGTGGAAGCCCCTGGCACCACCTGCCAACCCAGGGCAGGAATCTGAGTTCCTAAGCCTGCACAGGGCTCTGAGAAGCAATCTGCAGCCATGCCCACCTCCACTCCTGCTCCCTCCTGGCACCCAGGGACTCAACTGCCTGGGGTACGCTGCAGTCCAATTTTATGTCCTGTCTGGAGCACCTCTCACCTTGCCTGGTCTGGAAATTCATCTCTTCTAGAGAAAGCCACCCCGACTGCCACACTGGGCCCTGCAGCCCAAGCACCCCTGTATCTCGTGCTTCGTATGGAAATGCCCATCTCTGCACCACCTGCTATGAGCAGCCTACTCATAGGCTGCGTGTTGTAGCAGCCAACACACCCTACCCTATTTCCAGGCTTGGCCAGACCTGGCACAGAATGGTGGCAGTATTTATTAGCAGAGCTCAGAGGAAAGCAGGGCCTGTGGAAAGAAAAGGGGGCAGGCCCTGGGAGCCGCCCTGCATATCAAAGTGATACCTGCTTCCCCTGGCCAGTGACCCTTGCCAGTCAGCTGGACCTGTTTATAACATTCACACTTCTCTAGGAGAAGCCAGCTGCCCTCACCAAAGGCCAGATAAGAAGTTTCCCAGCAGGCCCCTCCCCTTTGGATGGAGGGCTCCTGAGGACATAGATGTGTCACCAGTGCCCCAGAAGTGGCATCTGCAGGGATGCAGTTGGCTCTGCTCCCCCAGGAGAGGATTCCAGAGGCTGGACCCGGGAAGGAGCCCATACCACCTGGCACTCACCTTCCCATTGGGGCTCGCCTTCTTGAACACTCTGTGGAGAGAAAGAGGTGAGGCCAGAGTTAGTGCTGCACACCCAGGCAGCCCTGTGGCCCATCCTAGCGCTGTGGAGGATGATGGCCTGCAGCAACCTCAAGGAACCATGCAAAGGTGGAGCTGGAAGAGGACCACTGCCACTGCCATCGCCAGCTCCACCTAAGCTGCCATCCCAGCTGCTATAGCCCTTCCACGACACGCAACAGACTCCAGGCTCATTCATCACACGGTGACAGAGAGGGGCTCAAAATAGGTCCACCAATTCAAGGTGAGGCCTGCGTGATCCGGCCTCACCCTGCTTTTCCTCCCTGAGTCACCTCCTGGGATTTTCCTGCTGTTCTCCAGCGTTGCAGCCTCTTGCTGTTCCACAACCACCCCCCACCCAGGGCGATTCCTGCCTGTGGCCTTTGCTCCGCAGCTCCCCTTCCCTGGGGGACCCTCCATACACATCATGCCCACTCTCATGCCACTTGATGCTTTATTCTGTGCCCCTCCCCACCCCAGCTCCCCAACCTTCTTCTGGTTCACTGCACTCCTTGCTGTCTAAACTGCTGTGTCAGTGAGCTGCTCTTCCCTGCCTGGCCTGTCTATACCGCTAGTGTGTCCACTCCACAGGGACAGGGACCTTTGTGTCTTCCGTCCACTGACATCCCAGGCGGGCAGAACATCGGCCTGACTGCTGTCCATCAGGTACGTGTGAATGGGTGGCAAGTAGCGAGTGCTCACTAACAGGTGAGTGAATGAACTACGGAAGGATCTACCCCTGATTTGACTAAGAGAACCAAGGCACAGGAAAGGAAGGTGGATACCAGGGTCACAGATGGAGCCCTGGACATGCAGCCAGGCATGGACGTGGTCCGCGACTCCTGAGAAGTCCACACTTGCCATCCCTCTTCCCTCCTACCCTCTCCCCAGCAGTATCTGGAGACCAAGCTACCACCATGTAGCCCAGAATTCCTCAGCATTGTTGGAAGGGACAGAAGAAAAGTGAAAGGCAAAGACAGGAGAAGGTGTTTAAAGAGAGGGAGGGGAAGAAAAAGGAGGGGAGGAGATAAAAAATGGAACAAGAGATGGAAAAAAGCATAAAAGCAAGGCAGAGACAGTCACAAGCAGAGATGGAGCAGAGAGACGCAGCAGGCCCACAGGAGGCTGGACGAGAGTGCACTGCCCACTCCCACCCAGGGCCAGAGGTCATCGGCTTCCAGCGCAGGCCACCTCATTCAGGCAGCGGCTCCTTCAGGAAGTCCAGGGTGCAGGGGCTGCTCAGTCCCCACAGCCCTCACCCCACCGCACCCAGCCCCCGTTCCTGGGGTCCCCAGAGACCTCCCGACAGGTCTGAGCATTGCTTACAATGGAGCGCTCGGCGCCCCCCTCCCCACTCAGGGGCACTGCTCCCCCTAGTTATCACCGTTGGGAGTGTGAAGACACCACAGTTGGCTGGGGTGTGATAACTGTTATAGTGGGAGAAAAACAGATCACAGGATTGGCACCAGCAGCTCCCAAGCTGGGACTGCACCAGAGGAGACTTAAGAAATAGCCCAGCCCTGGACCCCCACTGCTTCCAGAAGGCTCAAGCATCTCCACCCCCAGGGAGCCCAGTGTCTGAGGGAAAGGAGAGGTTGCAACGGGCTGAGGGCTCAAATAACTGAATCAGGAACCACCATTCCAGCTGTAGAGGGGCACGGTCACCAGAACGAGGCTTGGAGAAGCAGGACTCTATAAGGGTCCGAGAGAAGGAGAAAGGAGCGAGGCTCTGTTGAGCCTGCTTAGAGAGGGCAGCAATCAGCCCCGGAACACACACAAGCTAGAGGCTGGTTCTGGAGTCCCACACCAATCCATCTGCCTCCGGAAGCTGGTGTGCTTTCCCCACCTCTGCAGGCTCCTCGAGCAGGTGTTTGTATCAACATCCGGAACAACAGAAAGAGGGGAAATGAGGACAGGAGGGGGAAGGGATGAGGAAGAAATGAAAAGAAGAAGCAGGGGTGAGGTCTGAGGGATGAAGAGGACAGAGGCAGGAAGCAACACAGCATCGGGGAATGCCCTGTGCTCCCCTAATCGGCCAAAGGCCCAAGTCCCCCAGGAAGCTGGGACTTTGACAGCTTCCTCAAGCAGCAGCAGCAGCAGCTGCGGCATCCCTGAGAGCAGGCTTGCTATGCCCCACACAGCTCTCTCAGTGTTTGCCCACACTGCTGCTGATCTTACAGTTCCATTTCAGAGATGTGGAAACTGAGGGGCAGAGAAGAGACTCAAGGTCTGCCAGAGCCCACGGCTGTCCACTCAGCAAGCCAAGCCCACCTGGAAAGCCTGCCTGCTTCTCAGCCCAATGGGGCTCTGGGACCCCTCATGCACAGTCCCACATAGATAGCTAGCTCTGCTGTCCACTCTGAAGAGCACACACCAACACCCATGCCTGTGGGCTAAGCCGAACTGGCTGCTAGGAGATGCTGGGCTTGTTCGCCCTCCAGCCCATCTGTGCCTCCACCGCTCCATCTTTACAGCCGCAGCTGGTTTCCCCAGGAGAAACACCAGCAGGACTGACGTGGATCAAGGCTTAGCAGAGAAAAAGGGACAGAAATCCACCAGGGTAGCTCACAAAAATGGGACGGGAGTACATGAAGGAGGTAAAACTCTCACGGGAAGGCGGCGCAGGCGGGATGCACAAGGGCTGGAGCAAGGAAGGCGGAAGCCATCGGTCCTCAGGCAGCGGCTCCCTCTTGCCACCTCTCCTTCTGGGCCAGCATGTTCTCCCAGCTGCACAGCTGTCTGCGCAACTGCTCCATTATCTCGGTGGGTCGGCTCTGTCTGCTTACTCAGGGCTTCTCTGCTCCTCCATCCTTTTGGCTTGTGTGTGACTCACCCTCCATCCCTGTTTCGACTCTGCCTCTCTCGCTCAGCTTCCCGCTACTGGCTGAATGGCCCAATTCCAAATTCCCAAGGGGGAATGTGATTGGTCAGCTTGGTCAGGTGCCCCACCCAGGGCCAGTCAGCTAGGTCTGGGGTGGATCCCATGATCCATGAAGTAGGAGTAGAAGAGGGGCCGGAGGGTAGTGCTTTCCAAATCAGGGTTACAAGAGATACTGCTATATTCACCAGTGTTCAGGTTGTCTCTAACTGGGCCTTTGGGAACATCAAACATTTCCAGTTCTATAAAGTTAGATAGGGGCCGGGGAGATGGCTCAGTGGAATAAGCGCTTCCCCGGCAAGCACAAGGGCCTCAGTTCACTCCCTGGTTCCGCAAAAATAAATAAAGTTAGGCAAACCCACATGGCCTGCTCTGGCCAAATAAGGAGCAACAGAAGTGCTGCATGTCATTTCCAGGTAGATGCGATTAGGTGCTGGTCCATGATTCCCTCTGCCACTTGCATTCACTTTCTACGGCTGCTAACAAATTACCGCAAGCTTAATGGCTTGAAACACAAATTTGCTGTCTTAGTTCTGTAGTTCATTAGTTCAAAAAGGGCCTCTCTCGGCTCACACCAAGGCTCTGGCAGGTCTCTGCTCCTTTCCAGGGTCTCTAGGTGTGAATCTGTTTTCTTGCCCTCTCCAGCTTCTCAAGGTCATCCATATTCCTTATCCCGTGGCCCCCTCTGCCACCTTCGAAGCCAGCAAGAGCAGGCTGTGATCCTACCGCATGGCATCACTCAGATCTCTTCTGCCTCTCTCTTCCACTTTATTTATTTATTTATTTATTTATTTATTTATTTATTTATTTTGGTGGAATGGGGATTGAACTCAGGCCCTTGTGCTTGCCAGGCAAGTGCTTAATCTACTGAGCTATCTCCCCGGCCCCTCTTCCACTTTTAAAGATCCTTGAGGTTACACTGGGCCTACCTCAACAATTCAGAATAACCTCCTATGGGGCTGAGGAGACAGCTCAGCAGTCTAAGTCCTGCCTGGCAAGGGCAAGGACCTGGGTTTTATCCCCAGTAACACATGCCTTGCTGGCCCAAGAATCAGACATGGTGGTGCACACCTGTAATCCCAGCACTGAGCAGGCTGAGACAGGAGGACCACTGTGAGTCTGAACCGCATGGCAATACCCTGTACCAAATAAATAAATAAACAGGGGCTGGAGAGATGGCTCAGTGGTCTAAAGCACCTACTTGAAACAAGCTTGGCAAAACACAGGGACCGCGGTTCGATCCCCAGCACCACATGCCAGCCAGACCCGCCCCCTGGTGGGCTGAGCTGGCCACACACACACACAATAAATAAATGTAATAAATAAAAAT